ACTTACTCCTGACAAGGAAGTATGTAGAGAGATCTTGTAGTCCCTTCGAGGCTAACTGAAAGAAAGAAGTTGGCAGCATGAGCTTTCCTAGACCTAAATCTACTTCCTCAGATGCATTTGGTGACAAGGAAATGGGCTTAGTGCCCCACTAAGTTGCATCTGTTGATGGCAGTGCAAGACACCATCAGCTTTACACAAGCCACTGAGAGATGACAACAAGTTACGACTCATGTGAATCCAGTGCGTATCAATATCTTCGATCCGTAGGGAGAGGCGGGAAATATAAATAAAATTATTTTTATTATTGTTGTTGTTATTATTATTATTATTATTATTATTAATACAACCAGGGGCACTGCATGAGAGAAGAGGTCCTTTGGGTCCTCTCCAGAGGCAACTGTTCTTAGGACTGGGCCAATTTACAGACAGAAATGACAATGGAGGAGAATGCTATGGAATACACCTCCGTTCTTCTGCAGTCGTCCCTGCCTCGCGCTGGGAGCAAGATTGATATTTACGTGCCTTCATTTGTACGGACAGAAAAGAGGTACTGCATTGGCCTTTGGAAGCGCTCCAAACTCATCTGGCAACTCAGAATTAGTGGAATCTGCTGACACAACAGATACAACGACAGCCACTGATTGCAATGGTTTTACAAGGGAAAGAGGGTGGGAGATAACCATTAGTCTTCATAGCTAGGTTGAGCTTCCATGGATCAATGCAGTCTATCGGTGGAGGCAAGATCCAAAGAGGAGTGGGGAGTACAGGGTGATCAGACACCCTCCTTTTCCAGGACATGTCCTCCGTTTCAGCCTTCTGTCCAGGAGCAATTCCAAAATGTCCTCCATTTGGAGCAGGATGAAGAAGCAGGAATTAGCATTTCTGTTAGTACAGTTGGCCCTCCACGTCTATGGATCCTTTATCCATGGATTCAAGCATCCAGAGCTTGAAAATATTCAGAATATATATATAAATTCCAAAAAGCAAATCTTGATTTTATCATTTTATATAAGAGATGCCATTTTACTATGCCATTGTGTTTAAGGGGACTTGAGCATCCACAGATTTTGGTTTCCACGGAGGGTCCTGGAACCCATCGCTGTCGGATACCAAGGGCTCACTGTATTGTGTGGCTTTTCTTTGCCCATGTCCTACATTTTATGGGGCCTTGTCCTCCTTTGTGGTTAGGACATCTGGTCACCCTGGGTGCATAAAAATGACGGGGTGGAGCGGTCCCTTCAAGCCCCACTTCTGGGGCGCTTCCTAATGTAATGGCATCCCATTCACCACTATGGAGAGGAAAGACACAACAAGTCCCGTATTCCGATCAAGCCTTACTCAGTCTTTTCTTATCATCTTTTATAGCCACTGGAGTTTGACGTCATTTGTACATTTGCTGGCAAAGAGTGTCTCTGGACAGAACAGGCTGCAGAGAGAGAGAGAGAGAGAACTGGAACATCATTTGAAATTGCTCCTGCCAGGAAGATGCAATTTTTCAAAGATTCAGGGCTTTCAAAGTGAAAGGTTTCATTCTCTCAACCTGAAATGTAAGAAACATCAATCCATCATGGGGTGGGAGAGGAGGATGTTGATCCCTACAGAACAGAGGATGCAGTGCTCAAATGCTACCAGGAGGCATCTGGAAGACTGTGTGTGACCCTCCAGACGAGGGTGGACTGCAACTCCCAGCACTCTTAGTCACTAGCTTTGCTGGCTAGGAGTTGCAAGTTGGGAATCTCTGCAGGGCTGCATTCAACCCACCTCTGGCCTAGAACACACAAACTATGGAATAAACAGGAGGCAAGCAGCCGGTTTACAAGCCTCCTTGGTCAGCTAAACCGATCCCCCAAGATTTCTAAGCAGCCCAACAGAAAGGCTTACAGCAACAATATTCCAGACAGTAGAAAACAGGCCATTAAAACTAGTGCTGAGACAGGCAGATGGGGCAGAGTTTGGGGGATACTCCCCTTGCCTCCCCCCCATTCCCACCCCTCTCCATTGCAGCTCCTATCGAGATGCTTAAAGGAATCATTTTCCAAGGCAAGGCAAGGCTTCGCCACTCTCTCAGCCCATTTTGCTGCACCGGGGCCATGCATCTGCCTCCACTCCAGGCATCGGTGCATCCAAACTTTTGGGCATTTGAACATCTGGTTTGGAGCATGCCTTTAATTTTGCATCTGGGCACACATCCTCACTCTCCAGGATACACAAGGAGGAATCCATCCATTCAGCATCCCTACTGCTAGCTTAGGAGTGCGTCTGTTGTTGTTGTTGTTGTGTTCCTTCAAATCATTTCTGACTTCTTATCACCCTGAGGAGAAGCTACCATGGGCTTTTCTTGGCAAGATTTGTCCAGAGGAGGTTTGCCATCCCATTCCCCTGAGGCTGAGAGTGTGTGACTTCTAAGACCGTTGTCGTGTGCCTTCAAGTCGTTTCCAACTTAATGGCGATCCTAAGACAAACCTATCATGGGGCTTTTCTTGGCAAGATTTGTCCAGAGGAGGCTTGCCATCCCATTCCCCTGAGGCTGAGAGTGTGTGACTTGGCCAAGGTCATGCAGTGGGTTTCATGGCTGAGCAGGGATTCGAACCCTGGTCTCCCGAGTCCTAGTCTGTCACTCAAACCACTATGCCCTGCTGGCTCATACCATTGATATTATATGTGTTTTTTCTCTCTCTTACTACCATTACTCAACCCACACTATTCAGGAACCTTCCATTTCATCTTAAGACCCTGAAAACCAAAAAAACAAATTAATTGCAAAGTACATTATTCTCATCTTATGGCACAAACATCTGACTTGACTGATTCATAAGTGACAAGCAGACTCCCTAGAACAGTGTGACTGTGCTTTTCTTGCCAAGCTTACACAACAACCCGAGTTACTAATAGCTCTTGTAACAGAAGAGCAGCTAACAAAACAGTACGGAAGTGTCAAAAAGAGAGAGGGGAACGAACATTTGTACCCGATACACCCATTTCATTTCCATAATTCATTGAGTGCGAGGCAAGATTTGGAAAGGATCTCTCGTCAATGGAAGGAGGAACACAAAGTCCTAGGTAGAATCCAACAGATGCTATCTTGAGCACAAAGGACTTTTTTGTGCATGAGTGTGTGTGTTGCAAATAAATAAGATTTGGTTCCAAAGTAGATGGTCTACATAAAGCTCTATCCACTGGGCCAGTGTTACAGCCTTTAGCTCAGGGGTCCCCAAACTATGGCCCGCGGGCCAGACCCGGCCCGTCAAGGCCTTCCTACCAGCCCGCCACCACCGCCAGATGTCATTTTGAAAGACAAAACAAACTCTTAGTCCAGCTATCTTTTCTGCAAGCCCTTTAGGATGCCACTTTGGTTGTTTTAGGGTAGGGGTCGGCAACCTACGGCCCCCGGGACAGTTCCGGCCCAGGTCGCCTGACTTACTGGCCCAGGCCGATCCCTGCCACGCGCCGCTGTGGCGTGTTTTCTCCTTCGTGCGGCCGCAACGCAACGAGTTTTGATTTTCAAAATGGCGGCTGTGGCGCGTGCGGAGGCAGCTGCGGCCGCGCGCACCATGGCGGCGGCAGCGGCGGCGGCAGCGCACGCAGGGGGTGCGCGCACGCACGTGCGCACGCGCGCCGCCATTCCCCCACCCCTCGGCCCAACAGAGACAAGGACTTTGGGGGACCAGCCCAGGTCCAAAAAAGGTTGCCTACCCCTGTTTTAGGGTGAAAGCAGAGGGGGAGATGGAAAGGCAAGGCTGAAACATTTTAATTTACACCATAATCTTTTTTTAGACATGCAAAATAATAATAATAATAATCCACAGGCAAGAAGAGGACACAGTGACAATGTCAATCCATATTTATGTGATGGGATAAAAGCTAATGATCCCAGACTGCTATGCAATAGGATAATAAATCCTTTTCGGTGAGGGTAGTAGTGCAGGAATCAGAAAACAGCTTTATTTTGTTAACTATTATTTCCTGAGCAGGAAGAGAAGAGGGGCAAGTCTATGGCTGGCTTTTAAAAAGTATGCCAGGACAAACAATACTGGGATGAACTCAGGCATGGGAAAGAGGCACGGCACCCTTGAGATGAAGAGATTTAGTTCAGCATGATGAGATTTAGTGGATTATGTGCCTCCTTCCCTTCTTTAAAACATCAAACCAGACTTGCATGGCTGTCTCTTTGCAAAAATGCATCCGTCTTGTAAGATGCTTTTCCAAAAAGCTTCTTTGGAAGACAGAAAGAGAGCAAAAGGCTGTGTGACGAACAGACAGAAGCAAGTCCCCTCCTAGACGCAAGATCCCACCGGAAAGATTACTGTGGCAAAGTTTGCGTTATTTGGAAAGGAAAGGAAAGGATTAATCACCGCAATGACAAAATGTTGCTTGGTATTTCCCATGGGAAAGTTGGAAGTTATCTCCTTTCAGAAAGGAAAGGACAGGCACTGCCTTTTCCATGGGAAAGAAAGTTATAGGTCATCCTTAATTCTTCTTAAGTACAAAGAATTCAAGGATATAGTTGTGTTAGTCTGTAAAATCGTTAAGCAAAGACATCTTGTAGTACCTCTGAGGCTCACTGAAAGAAAGAAGTTGTCTCCACCAAATGCATCTGAGGAAGGAGACTTTAGTCTGGGAAAGCTCCTGCTGCCAACTTTCTTTCTTTCAGTGAGTCTCAAAGGGGCTCCAAGATCTCTCTCTCTATATATATATATTCTTCTTAAATACCTTAACAGTAAACACCGAAGTGAATGTCATGGAGAAGATGGAGTGAGCTTGTTTTCTGCTGCTCCAGAAACTAGGAGAGGAACCCATGGATTCCAGAAGGTGATGAGAGCCTCCTCCTTTTAACGGAGATTAGATGGCCACCTTTCAGAGTGCTTTAGTTGTGTATTCCTGCATGGCCAAGGGTTGGACTAGGTCACCCTTGAGGTCTCTTCCAACTATAGGATTCTATCAAATTGAATGGGCCAAAATGGATGGGTCTTCCTTGCAGCTAGAGATCAGATGGCCCTGGTTGTGGGATACAAGGAGAAACAGTTGAGATCAAGCCACTCTTATTACTACCCAGAGAATTGGCCACAGGGCTTGGGAAAAGGACCAATTTGGACTAGAAGTCCCAGAATTTCAGTCAGAGGTTGTTGGTCTGCAACTCCCAGCAGCCACAGGTTGTTCAACTGCAACTCCCAGCAGTCCCAGTGGGAAGTCCAGCAACACATCGGAAAACTGCATGATCCCAACCCTTATACTAGAAGGAGAGGATAGAAGATATGCACCAAACCATTGTCAGAAAATGGTAAGACCTCTTTACACCGCTTGGAGGAAAGTGGTGAAAACAGACAGAGAATAAAGCCATTCTAAGTGAAGACTTACATAATCTGGAGGGAAGACTGAGATAATATAAGAGAGAGAAGACGGAGATAATATAACAGAGAGAGGAGACAAGTGAGGTCTTTGGCATTACCATCCCCAATCTGGGAAATTTCCTCTTTTGGACTGTAATTCCAAAAATCCTTGCATCCAGCACTTATGCTGCCAAGGAATCTGTGAACTGTAGTTAAAACAAGTAATTGTTCCAAGCTCTGGTTGGAGAATGCATTAACACTGGAGTCTCAGGGACAGGCAGAATTTGCCGGGATAGA